AGATATGCACAGTCACTTACTTATTTCATGTTTTTTGTATTAACATATTTTCTCAGAGCCAAAAATATCATAAGAGTGCAATTATATGAGAGAGACAGAAGAACCTGTCCAATGTACATATAAATATATACAGTTGTTCATGAGAATGCATCTGATATATATTCACATTGACTGTTTAATTAATGTGAAGGAGTAATTTATGCTTATACGCGAGTGTATCTGTTCTCGTGGGTGTAGACATGTTGGGTGTTGGAGTGGTGTTTTATGTAAACTTTATTTTTTTCATCAAAACAATCTACTAGAGAGATTGGAATAAGGTTATTTACAATAAAACAAAACAACAATAATAATAATAATAACAGTGATAGTGAATATCAATCAAAATGAATCCTTTATTGATTATTTGTTTTCAGTATCTTTACTTATACACTAATTGGTAAACACACAGTAAACTGTGTCAAGTAGTAGTCTGTAGTGAGTATCTTCAGTTTCTCAGTTATCACCTCTACTGTATGTGTGCGTGTGTTTGCATTGCTTATACGTGCACAGATATTCCTGTTATCAAATTATGAATAGACTATTAAATTGGTTTATTGGTGGGTTAATTAAAAATGAAATGCCGAGAAAGTAGTCACCGGGGCTAATTTAGTGATGTAATCTAGTTTACTATTACCCTTCATTAACCTGAAACCAATCTGGAAATCTTCGTCACTCAGCATCAACAACAAAATTCGGAGTTTCAATACAAACATCAAGTCAGTCAGTTCTTCTATACGGATTAGAAACTTGGCGGGTCACAACGAATATTTCCAACAGCCTGTTGCAGACCTTTATCACCAGCTGTCTTCGCTCTATACTGAAGATCAGATGGCCGGAAGGAATCACCAACAAGAAACTATGGGAACAAACAAAACAAGAACCAATCTCCCAACAAATATGCAGGAGAAAGTGGAGATGGATTGGACACTCTCTGAGGAGGCCGTTGGGTGACATCGCGCGTCAGGCCAGTGCTCGAGTGGAACCCGAAGGGGAAGGGGCGAGTGGGACGTCCAAGGGTGACATGAAGGAGATCGTGTGAAGAGGATTTGAAACAGTATGGATTAACATGGACGCAGGTGAAAGTACAGCAGAAGATAGAGGCAAGTGGAGACGTGCAGTTGAAGCCCTTTGTTCCACTAGGAACCCAAGGGAACAACAATAATAATAATACCCTTAATGATTCAGGTTTTAATTTCTTCTAGTGTTGAGATTCTTTGAATCGCCCCATACGTACACATATACACTCTGTGCTCCTAGGTAGATAGTTATCACGGAGTATCATTTTTATAGCAACGTCCGGAGGTATAGGCTACCTGATTAGGGTCTCCAGTTGTGTCTCAAAATCGTTCTCGAAGGCACAGATGTATTCACACCTTGTGATCTCTTCTGTATCCACTAGACTGTCATCATTTTCTATGTTATCATTCTTCCTCCTTCCCGTTTCTGCTTATTATCGTTCTTCTCAATCCGCGGTTTTACCTATTTTCACTGTGTGTGTGATATGCTGCCATACATCTGTGCAAAGTTCTATCTTGAAACTCAACCAGGTTTGCATCAACCTGTGTAACTATACTATGATGTATGGACGTTTATGGGTATTAGTTTGTATTAAAACTTGCGCAGTTATCATCTGTCAGCTATAACTATATTGTACAATACGTTGCCAGCTAGTTTAAATAGAGCGTTCTTGGTTCTTAGTTTTTCACTCTTCAATATCGAGTAGATAGATGAATCAAGGTTATAAAGTCGATTATCACATTGAATCGTAAGTGTTTCCCTATACTCTACAAAATGACTACAGGCTATGATACGTAATGCTAATAAAGGATCGACCGTAGTAAACTTTTGATTAGACACTAGTTAGTAACTAGTGTAATGTGTCTAGTTCTTTGGTTGGTACAGACAATTCTATCAGTCGAGTTTACAATGTGGCCACCGTTTTAGGTGGCCCGCCATCACAGGGCATTTTGAATTGTTGATATTAGATTGGTGAAGGCAATAAGCAGAAAATCTTGGACCTAGGTTTCGTCCTAGTTGGCAGTCGTCAGTAAGGCGTACGCACAACCTTGAAGGAACTCATGTCCCTTCTGAGACTCGAACCCATGTCTAGGGACATAAGTTCCTTCAAGGTTGTAAGTACGCCTTGCTGACGAGTGCTAGCTACGATGAAATCTAGGTCCAAGGCTTCCTGCCGATTGCCTCCAACCATCTAATACCAACAGTAGTAAACATTTTTAAGTTATAAAATGTTGATTAGGATTCACTAGCTAGTTACTAAACATTATAAGAATTTCATAATAAAAACGTAAATGTATCAGGTATACTGAGATGATAGTAAAGTTCTCTACAAATGAAACGGAAGTATAGAGTATTAATTGGAATTTTCGACAGCAATGCAATTTAGCCGTGCGATAAATTAATTTCGTCCTATACTGCATAAGAAGGTTGTTTTGTGTATATTCGATGAACGAAAATTCAGTGATTAGTCTCTCTCTCTACCTTGGCGTATTACTTTTTAGCACTGTGGCTATGTCTTGCTCGATTGTTTGATTGTGTACTGGCGCAAGTATCGCTGAATTTTCTTCAAAGCTACTCATTTTCATGGTGTCAGTTATTCTATACTTAGCTAAATTCTTATTCTCCCACAACCTAACTAAACCCAATCTACTAGATTGAACTATGTAGTCGACCTCATGTTCGCTCCAAAGTATTTTATAAGTTAAATTATTTTGCTTAATTGGGTCAGTATGTTCCTTTAGTATACAGAACTTATCCCTTAGTGCTTTATTAGGTTTAATTCTTTGGTCGATTAGTTGGGCACTTAACTAAGACTGTCTTTACCTATATGGATGTGATGATCTAAATTCTAAGTATCGCCTAGATTGCAATGGCTGTTTGTGAACAAAAAATGCATAACTTTACTTCTCCTGTATGTTTCATTCTGCAGTCAAACATGCCTATTTCTCCTATTTTATTTTCTAACTCAAGTGTATATTTTACTCCCTCTACTATCGATTTTATGTGTATGAATAAGTTAGAGATATGTTGTGTTTTGTACACAGTGAAAGTATAATCCGCATATCTCCACCACATATTTGTAGTAGGATTAAATGTATTTAAGAGGCATGTCGTCTCATCTACTCATAAAGATATATGCTAGGATTTATGAGAATAATGGTCTTAATGCTAACCCTTCTGTTTGTCTTTTATACTTTTCCAAGAAATTTGAAGACAATAGACATAATCGAATCCCTAGAATAAGTTGAGTAAGCCATAAAGATAATACTTACTTTTTTTTTACTTTGCTTCGGCTATCTCCTATGGAAGGATGAGCCGGCTTCATGAACTTCTCAAATCATCGCTACCCAAGCGCAGCGATCTGATGAAGAGAGTTTACGAAGTTTCATGGGAATTTGGTACGAGTGATGTCCCCAGAACCATAAAGATAATCATCTTCATCTATTCATGCTTCTGTCATCTGAAGTGGTGACAACTAGTGGTGTCCGTCAGGGATGCTCACTATCCCCATTTCTATTCAATTTCATCATAGACGTACTAATGGACTTAACCCTAACTCACTTCAGAGACTCAGGGATTGATTTGTTACCGTCAGGGAATAATCTCATTGACTTAGAATATGCAGATCATATAGTCCTTCTAGGTGAAGACGCTGACAAAATGCAGTCTTCTGAAAATCTTGAGCTGCAATCTACGAATGTTTGGCATGCGATTCTCTCCCGCCAAATGTAAGATGATCAGTCTACAGGACTGGACTACACTGATTCCTAGCTTAGAAATAGAGGGTGAAGCGGTAGAGCACGTTGACCGCTTCACTTATTCGGGAAGTTGCATCAGCCAACGCCAGTGGGTTGATCGCTGATGAAATCTCAGCACGGATACAGAGGACTAGTTTCGCATATGCCAGTTTACGCCATCTCTGGTGTAGACGTGATATTCGGCTGACTGTCGATCGAAGGGCATGTGTACTCCTCAGCAGTCCGCTCCGTCCTCCTTTATGTCTGTGAGACCTGGCCACTGAGAGTGGACGACATGAAAGCACTAGCTGTCTTCGATCATAGGTGCCTGCGTTCTATCTCTCGTGTGAATTGGTATAATAGAGTGAGCAATCTTGAAGTTAGGCGTCGAGTGGTAGGTAAGGAAGGGAAATCAATCGACGATGCTGTGAAGCTACATCGACTGAGATGGTTGGGACATGTTTTACGTATGCCTAGTCATCGCCTTCTTCGACGGGCACTGTTAGCTGACATATGGTCAGGTTGGAAAAGAGCCGGTGTTGGTCAAACCAAAACATGTCATCAGTTAATGAAATCCACAACAAATAGTTTGAGCCACGTAGTAAGATGTATACTTCCTCGTTGGCGTCCTTGGGATGGTAAAACCTAGTGTCTGGAGAAAATTGGTGATATGACTCAAAATCTAACTCAATGGCTGGCGCAGATGCATCCACTCCTCGTGATTTATAATTTCCAATGAAACTATATTGTTATTCGTTATTACTATTCCTTTGTCTCATATCCCTGTCTACTATCTCTATCATGCATTTCTTCTACTTTCTTCTCTTGCTTTTTGTGCTACAATGAGTGTGATGACTTAAACTGCTGCACATTGGTGCAAAGTTCTATGTTGAAAACAGACAGTCAGACAGACATTCATGCATGCTTCATCTGTCCGAATCACGCATCCATAAGACGCGTATAAATGCATTCTAGTTATCGAATCCAATACTGTGTCTACATCTTATTCTGATTATTAGACTATAATTAAAGCTCATTCTGTTTACACAGATTGTAAATGCACCGAAGCTAGTAAAATCAACTTCGTTGTTTCAAAATAATTTCTTGATTCTTATCTTAATATACACTCTTATATATGAAGTTTATTAATCCAACTTACAGACATTCTTTACATTCTCTCTTCCTCTCTTTCCTACTTAATTATAGCACAAAGTTAACTACTCCAGAACACATCAGTGCGGTAACTGCATCTACACCATCTCCGCAACCATTACCAACACATTCAGTCAGTGTTGTTACAACTAACACTGAACCCTTGACAACTGTTAATAAAAACAATACACCGGATGCCTACAATACTGATTCACAACCTGTACAAAATGTTCAGCGTAAAAGTCAGCTGACAAGTTTATATGCTCCACAACCATATGAAGCTGTTACTGATAATAAAACACACTCAGCTATGTCCACATCCGATTCATTCCAGTCACGGATTAAACCGCCTTCGATTACAGTGAAATCGTCAACAGAATTAACTAAGCAGTTAAGCACACTGAAGATGACTACGACAGCTGTTAAAATTGAAGAGTCAACTAATAATTCAAAACATGTAGAGAATAATAATTCAACGCTGAATACATCATTACAGTCATCAGAAAATAATAAGATAAATAATGTAAGTTAACTGTTTGAAATCTTGATACTTGAAGCTTTATTTTTGAAATAATAAGAAATACGTTTGCGGTCAGCATGTCTATTAATTATTTAGATTTCCCTCTGATCGATTATATTAGTCGGTTTCTTGTGACACTATCGGCTTTGAGTGAAGGGATGCTTCAACGATGCCTTGAGGTTGATTTTGTGTTATTTTGTTGATGGTGTATAACAGTGGAACAGAATACAGAAGCTTTGTCCTACTTGGAACTCGTCATCTGCATCACCTTGAATTCTCGGTGGTTAGTTGTGCTACCAGTAAAACACGAGCTCATAAGCCATCGCTTTACAACCTGAATCCTGAATTCCAATCAACCAAATGTTAATATATCTAGTGACGTATAATTAGTTTGAATTTTAGTTAGATTATGGATTTTTGTAGGGATTTTAATCAATGTCAGCTTAGATTTTTCACGAACCAACACCATTTATAGAGATCATTTGGAACTAGAGTGCACTGAATAGTTGCTTCAGCATATTTTGGGACACCCTCGACCCTACTGGGAATCGAACCCAAGAACTCATTCGTCATCCAGCCACTTGAGGTGGAATTCATTGACCCGAGTATTCTAACTCCGTCAATAATAATCTCCAAGTGATCGACTGTTACTGGATGAATGTCCTGGAGCTGTAGTGAGTAGGCGTGGGCAGTAGAAGGTCTGTCGCCTCAAGGTGACGTCGATACTAGTCAATGGCATTGGTTAGGGTAACGCTGTGTCACGAATTGACAAAGTTAAAACTCATGGGCCATTGAATCTCGCACCAAATGACCGAGTGATCAACGAGCTTGGTATCGTAACCTGAAGGTCCTGAACTCGATCACTGTCCGGGTCTTTTTTTTGAAGACTTTCAAACTAGGACGAAACAGCTGTCCAGTGCTACCAAGTTTTCAGTGGTTTCCCTAACTGATGTTGGTTTGCGAAGAAACTTTCATTGAACTTAATATTGTTTTTGAAGTGTATAATGGAAAGTACTGCTTAAAAAATTAACTCTTTTCTAAATAGTGATTTGAGATATTTAGGTAGATTTTATGTGGGCCGGTGCCTTCCGTCAATTCCTTTAAGTTTCAGCTTTGCTTTAATCTTTCAGGCTTAGATGCTGTAGTGCTGACTGGCTGGGCAGGTGACTAGTGTCATTGATGGTATTATCAACATCCTCGTCAGACGCGCTCTTGAACCAGTAGTAAGGCCTGTAGAGAGGGAAGGCTAAAAATCCCACCCCATAAAAATAAAAGCACTGCTACCAAAACTTCAAATCTGTAGCTTGAAGCCCTGTGTTCCAGTGGGAATGTATAGGAATAAAAAAAGTCATAATAATAGTCATAATAATTTCGTATCTCTGAACAGCTTTTAACTTCATTAATACGCCTGTTTAGATAGTGTGATGAAAAGGATATGATTGTAACATACATCATTTCCAGTGAACATTAGTTCAGTCACATTTTCCTTATCCGAATATATATGATATTGCATGACAGGAAAATTAGTTGGAATCTTTGCATGCTATCCTAGTTCCCTCACACAAAATTATTGCAACTATTTTGCTCTGTATAAGCGTCAGTGGTTCAAGGGTGGAATACTCTCCAGTAATGAACGTGGTCGGGATTCGATCCCCGTTCGACTGACTCCTAGTAGTAGGCTCGGAAAAGTGGAAATAATAGCGGTCGGACTAGCAACTCTTTCCTGTAGAAACAACACTACCACTACTACTACTACTGGAACTTCTAGGCTTATAGATTGAAGCCCTATATTCTACTCGGAACGCAAAGGAGTGAAAAGAAATTCACTCTCAATGAGTGGGTCTTTGGTTGTATTCAAGCTTTAAGTCATACTTTAACGAGTGTGTCTATATATATATATATGCGTGTTTATTTTGCTTATCTAAGGTGTTGCATCAAAACGTGTAAGAACTTTTGATTCTACCTCATAGTATTACTTAGGGACAACTGTTGAGGACAAACATCAGAATATTGATAAGCAATAATTATTTTAGTACTAAAATAAATTTCCCCCATATTTCATAAAGTGCCTTTGATGTTATTCTCATCTGGTAAAACGTTAATTAATATATTCGTATCTTACACAAAAGAGATAATTTAGAGTATTTATTTTTCTTATTTAAACAAAAACTTTGCACAATAGGAGCACCAAGTGATACGTTTTAAGAAAATACAATATGTGGAATATAAATTGAATATTTCAGGAAGACTACAGTATTATAATAACGATTTTCGTGTATATCCCAATGAATGAAAAACAAAAGGATATTGTTGTGTTTACTGACGTTTCGCTATCTAATGCTGCTAATAGCTTTATCAAAGTATTATTAAACCAGAATTTACAAAATCTCAGCTTATATATAACAACTTAATCATCGTTCCTAGGTATGGGGTCATTATTCGTTGTCAAATTGGCCAGTTGGTTAAGATAACAAAACCAGGCGTAGATTTTGGGATTTGATAAGTGTGTAGAATTATAAAAGCAACGTGTGTTTACATAAGGGAATTGCTAATTACATTCGTGTTGAATTTGTCACTTCATGGGGGATAGGGGTGTGGTAATCAGGTCAAATTCTGTTTTAGTCCATCACTCCTATTCAGACAATTTGGATTCCACTTGATATGAAATGCTTCTGATGATGTGAGACGTTCTTTGTGAAATCTGAAATTTTTCTGGATTATTTAAATATTGTCAAAATCAATTTCGTGGCCTGATTCTATAGCGTGTAGACCTATGGTTGATGATTTTGCAAGCTTTTCTAACTCAACTGGATTTCTCGGTGGTCGAACAGAGGCGACTCTACGGTGTTCATTTCTTCTGATCTTGACTCCTCGGAATGTTTGTTAGATGTATATTGCATTACATTCAGAGCATTTTATTTTATAGACACAATTAGATAGAGAAGAAAAGTCTGATGTCGAGCTTATTGTGTACTCTTCTGATATCGTCTGACGTCTCTGCTCTATGTGGAATGACAACTGTTGAGATCCATGTTTTCGAAATACGTTTTACCATACTTAATGTCAGTGTTTATTTTGTTGATGAAGTTCCTTGGGTAGTTGTTTTGCTTGAGAGTTTCAGTAATGTATCATATTTCTTCTTTTTCTTTCTCATCCGTTATCAACTAGTGTGCTTGTCTTAATTTAACACACTTATCAAATCCCAAAATCTACGCCTGCTTTTGTTATCTTCACCAATTGGCCAATTTGGCAACGAAAAATGCCCCCATACCTAGGAACGATGATTAAGTTGTTATATATATGCTGAGATTTTATAAATTCTGGTTTAATAATACTGTCGTAAAGTTATTAGCAGCATTAAATAGCGAAGTGTCAGTAAAAACAATACCGTTTTGTTTTTCATTCATTGGGAAACACAAGAAAACCTTTAATTATAATGAATATCATATACCGAATGCCCAAATCTTTTCTAACCGTTAAAAGTGAACTTGGTTTGGACGAATATAAGACTACAGTATACCCACAGAGTTATTTATTGAAGGGGAGAGGACGAAGATGATGCTTTAGTGTTTATGTTTGTCTCAGTTAAGTCGGAACTAGTTGTATCCAGAATACGGAAAGTTTTTTAATTGCTTTAAGTTCCAAATGGGACAGAGGTCTTCAATCGAGAGCTTTGGAGTTTCAGTAGCAATAGTTTTATTTTGAGGAGGTGAGTTTGCTAGCCTCACGCCCAACCTTCTCGCTTTACCAGCCTTACTACCGGCTTAGTGAAGAAAATGGGTGCATCAGTCAGTGACTGAACCCCGGAACACATGCATGGTCGGTGAGCATTCTACTGCTCAAACACCGATGCCGAATCTTATGTTTATATACAGATATATATATATATTCGCAGATCTATCGCATTACAGGGATTAATGGGACATAGTACCGACATGTATAAATTGATCACTACAATCCAGAATGCAAGAACTAAGCGCTAATTACTCTATTATTGATCCAGTTATTTTGTCTGTTGTGTATGAAATACAAGCGTAAACTGGATCGTAGTTCTGTTCATCAAGACAATAGATTGTTTCACTGTATTTATGAGTGGTGGCATGTACTCACCTTTCTCAGGTTAATGTTTCACTCTTATGTCATTGTCTTTCATGTTACACTCTTCTTTATTTTACAGATTACGAATTCACCGAATCCTCCTGTGTTATGCTCTGCTTCAGTGAGTGTAAGTGGCATTCGTCCACCCAGTGGTATCAAGCCACCGTCTATTACTCCAGATAAAATAAAATCACTTATTAACACCAGTATTAATGGTAATGCTACTACTACTAATGGACATACAAATTCTACTTTGAACACATCATTCACTTCTACATACGATAAATCAATAAGTAGAGTAGAACAGACACCTGAACCTTTAAAAAGAAATGGTTCCACGTCAGAAGATAATTCACAGCATCCACTAAATAGCAGTGATAGTAGCAAACTGCCTAAGCCAATTAGTAATACACCCTCACCGACTCCTGGAAGCTTCCAGTCGAAAATTCGACCACCTGTAGTAGGCAATTTGCCTACTATGAAATCTGGAATACCTCCACCATCTGTACTGCCACCATCGATCAGTCAAACTACAATTGGACAATCTCATTTACCTGTACCGACGAATACGACTAACATTCCACTGCCTAGTGGAATTAAACCACCGTCTCGTTCACCAAGATCTGCTTTGGCTAAGGTAAATGGCCTCTTTTATCACTGTATTTTCTCTTATTGATTAGTTTTCGATATGACTATTATTTTCATAAAATTTATACGGTAGCTATAATAATGTCTAAAGAAGTGTAGCAGATATTTTTCCAGTTGACATTTTAAGTTTAATGTGAAACAATTAATTAAACACCTTTGTTTTGTTGTATGTTTAGACTAAAACTCATAGGTGACATTTATCCATTTATGCATACATAGTGTTGTATAGCTCTGTGAAACTTTGTACACATATTTTCTTTTCAGTCCATATAATCAGACGGTGCTCTTAAATGGCTAATTTATAAGCTGATGCATGCGACAATATTGATATTTTGTTTGCCTGTCAGACCAGTACAGAAAACTACAAAGATACAAAGAACCTCTGAGGACAATTATAATCCCTGTCAAGTTTATCGGGAAAAAATGAATTATTTCATTCACTATAAAGCCATCCAGCTGAGAGAAGACATTAGTTAAACAACTTGGTGCTTATTCATTTCACGTGATGGATGAAAAGCGATTATTACCGCCAAAATTAACTGACTGCATATTAGGATATATTGCATTGAGTCGATCCAGTTGTATATTTCACTATTCATTCCATTACGTTTCAGATGGTATATATGGCTTCAAGCGCTTGATCTTTGAAGTTTTACACGGCAAGCTCACTAGCCTCTCTTTACCAGATTTAGCACTGGCTAAATGAGGTCTAATGAGTGTATTAGCTGGAATTCGAGCCTGGACCATGTGTGTGGTTGGCGAATGTTCTACCACTGCTATGTGGTGAAACTATTCCTCGTGCCTGTCAACCCATACCAGTGAGGTGGCATCTGTATGCTTCACTTGAACATTTAAGCAACTGTCACACATTCAGATCATAGTTACACAAGATATAAAATCATGTGTGTACCGCCATTTTTGAAGCCCCTAGGCACTGATAGAAGTGTGAAGTTTGACTAGTAAGTTAGTTAGGAGGTGTTTTACTTTGTATGTTTATAATATGCTTACGAGTATCGGGCTGAAGAAAATTTCACTAAGAGGTATCTTATAACACAGTTACGCGTGTATGTGTGTGTGTGAATCGTCACATTAACAATTTAGAATTATTATCAAACAACTGAACTTACAATTCGTTTTGGTGCTACCTTGTTATAACTTAAATAATGTATATATTCTAGGACAGTGTTACATGTACTACTGACAAGATTTGTAAGTAGTATATAGATGCAGGTATAAATATGTATATCAATTACAAGAGTATCAACTAGCGAAAAGAAGAAGTGAACGATGCTTTTGAAATACCATGCAAGACATGAAAGGATGGCAAAGAAGCGCAGCCAGTACCAAAGACATGTGCAAATTGTGATTTTACTATTTGGTAGACGTATTTTTGGTTCATTGAGTAACCAGTAAATAATTCCGTTGCCACATACTCTTGTACTTTGCCGTTACAGTAGTTTCTGTCTTTCGTTTCAAGTAGTTTATTCGTTAAATTTCTTTTTTACTATTCTAAACATGTTCAACTTCCTAATCAGTGTGTTTTTCTTTTGGCTGTTGCTTTCCTACATTTTAGTGAGTGATGCAAAGCTGGTGGTATCATGTCTATCGTTAATGTTCACTGTCTGACTGTTCATCAGATGAAATCTCAGTTACGTTCAGTGTCTGTTGTGATTCGTTCAAATATATATATAAAGTGTTGATTTTCTCATGTGCGCTGGACAGTTAACATTAGTCTATCAAAGAGCAAGTTGTTTTACAGCTACTACTCATCATCTAATTCTTCTGATTATGCTCAATGATATTTTATTGTTATTGGGTGGTTACGTTATCTTTTGTCTTTGGAGAGAGAGAAATAATCCACTAGACTTGTTCATCCCTGAAGATGGTGATGATATTTTTTACTTCAGAATAAATGATAGAATATCCTATATATTCCCATTTACTGTCATCATCATCCCCCTCCTCCTCACCACATAGTAATCATTTTAAGGGTTATTATTAATATTATTATTATTAATATTATTATTGTTATTATTATCAGTATTATAATTATGCCATACTATAATATCAAAGTTTTTCACTTCACCTCAAAAGTAATATTGCATACACATGAGAAGATATTTTCTATTAAGCAGTATTATCCTATAATATGCACACATACACCTTATGTATGTTTTTATGCATGTATGCAAGTGTGTATACAGATTTCGTCTTTCGTGACCTCAACATTATTTTCATTTGTTATGTACACGTATATTGGCTTGTTTATTTTACAAATTTCGTTTTTGTTTTAATCTCCTTTAAATGAGACATTGATCATTGAACGAATTCATGTTTCCTGTATTTTGTTTCGTTCTGTTTTTCTTTCAATCTACTGTATGAATACTTGTCTGTTTTTAGAAAAAAGAACCAGTAAATAACTCTGAATTATACTATGACTTTTGCATATTTTCATGATTTATGCAAACTTTTAGGGCGGAAAAAATAGGCGAAATGATACATTCTTCGTTTTTGAGTCTTACCATCCCAAAATCCCTCCAAGCTAGTTTGTTATTGTTTCGTTGAAGAGGTTGGTTTTATAGTTGGTTAATCGTTTCTGTATTTCTCTGCGGCCCTTTCTATTCATCATTGTGTGTTCAGTATCTTTTCTTCTTCATCAGTATATAATATGTTGCCTTTTCTATTGTAAATTGTAAATTTCAGTAGTTTAACGTTCATACATACATTTTACTGACTAACATTTTTTATTAGAACAAACGGACAAAGAAACAATCGAGTTATCAGTTTTCTTTTGTTATTATTATTATTATTTCATTGACATTACTTTTTATTGTCTTTGTAAAGTGGCGGGTGTTGAATTTTCAGTGATTTATTTAGCTTTATATTCATATTTGACAACTTCACTACCTTGAAAAATTGATATGACCTTTAAAACACTTGGTAGTTGCGCTAACGATTTCCCTACCTAGTTTATTCACTAGCCTATTATTCTAACCACTATTAGCAGCGACAACACTATGATACCACGGGAAACGCGATGCAAAAAGACATGAGGAGAAGACAGACCGTTGACATGGAGAGCTTTTACTGTCTCTTATCAACAGCGAAAACAACTGACAGCTCTTGCGTATATTTATATTGCTTTAAACGACCTTGAGAGATACCATTGACATTCATGAATTAAAACAGGCAGCAACCAATAGGATTCCAAGATCACAAGTGGGTTGAAGGAATTACAAACCAGCAATATAAAGATACATGTGTATTATTTCAGGAAAATGAGATCTCTATAACAGAAATTAAGTTAATTGTGATACGTAAGAGACATATTGTATAGCAGAAAAGATTTCAAACAAAAGCTGACTTAGCTTTCACTAACTACCAGCACATATGTTACAAGCGAGATGTCTGATTTCTAATGAACGCTGTAGTGGACATATCTGCAGGCTGGGTAGGGATACTTGATATCAAACTACACAACAGTAATATGAGGTACTCAAGTAGCAATATGTTACATTTATTAAGAACAATAAAATATCAGAGTACATAGTTACTTGTGGAAAAAGTTGGGTCCTCTGGACACAAATTTCATAATATAATCCACAGCTGTCCATGTGTCTTTTATTTCGATGATTCTTCTCCACTTTGGGATTTTCACTCTTCTCATTGATTCTTATATCGAATGACCGACTGACTAGAAGTGTGTGGCCGGCTGTTGTTACTTCTTGGGCTACCCACACCGTGAAAGTCGATTTTTTTCTTGGGGTATCTGAAACAGAATTAGTGTTGCGTGACTGCAGAGCCAAAGAGACAATTGCTTGAGACCGGTCGCATAAGGCCTGTTTGGACTGGATTTTAGGTTTGGTTCCGTATTAGTTACTTACCACCAGCAGGAAAAATTGGGATGTACAATTTTTGGGGTTGACGTTTTCTAACCGCCTCTCTTCAGAGTGGAGAAATAGCAAAGGTGGCATGCTGATTATCTGAGGGAAACACCTGACTGCTGTTACATTCCTGTTCCCCAGCAGTACGACTTTGCCTGTAGACCTCTAGCATAGTGTAAGAAGATCTTACACCAGGCCGGTAAATGCTTTTAGTCTAATCGCTATCCTAACAATCTTTCTGGCATAGTAGGACCTGCAGGAACACTAGTTTCAGTCAGTGTAGCTTGTTGGGTCATTGCAATATGCAAGCTTGACCACCACGTCAAGGTAGCAGCTATCGGTTGGGTCTTATTTTGAACGTGGATGTGCATTTTCTGTGAATTCATAAAAAGTTGGTATGGCTTGCAATAATGGCATCCTGGCAACTCCAGTGAAGGAGGACTCAACGCGTGTATATTTTATATTTAACCTGTAAAAATTTTATTTTCGGAATGTCTATATATAAGGATAACAATGTTTGTTTTACCCAATCGGTAAACGCAATATACCCATATAAACGAATGTTGTTTTCAACAAAAAAAGCCATACAAAATTATATTTCCGTCCTCTACATGGGTTTAGTGTACTTTCAACAATCTAGTGAAGCACAGAATTCATTAAAGTGCCAATTTATTCCCTAATTTCGATGGAACTCGTCAAATGAATAGAACTTTTATAAAACAAACGTCCAAGCATAACATTAACAGGTCAAATGTGGAAATGCTTTTGGTCAGGTTTCTGCATCATATAAAAGTACTTGATTTATATTTGCATTAAGAATTCAAATCTTGTGCTGGTGTTGGATATCTGCACACTGATTTCAGGGTAATGAACGTTACTCCTGCTTTCCGCTCCTAGTTTACTAAATAGTTCCTCAGTCTGGTAAAGAAGGAATGTTGCACATGAAGTTTGAAAACCTGTAGGGGCCTCAATAGCAAGCTCCGTAACCGTACAAAATATCAGAATAAAAATCCAAGTTAATCAAAGAATATTGAAACCAAAAGCCCCCAAAGAAAGCACAAAGAAAATCGCCTTACCATATATAAAGGATATCTCAGAAATCACTACAAGACTCTTCAAACCTTTAGGAATTGACGTCGTACACAAACCAACAAAGTCACTTCACTCAATTCTGTGTCAACCAAAAGACTCAGCAGCGAAAGAAGATAAAACTAACATCATCTAGAAAATAGATTGTATCAACTGCGAAAAACACTACATTAGCCAAAGTGGACGTCCCCTTCGTCTTCGTACCCATGAACATAAGCTAGCTGCCAAAAGACATGATATCCACTCCCTCATATCACTACATACAGGTAACCACGGACATCGATTCGACTGGGACAATGTTCAAATATTAGAGAGAGGAAACAACAAGAATGCTAGAGAATTTTAAGAAGCTTGGCATTCCAGTGAACCATCAATCAATAGACACATCGAGATAGACAAAATTTATCAACCGATAAGAAAGAAACCTCACGCACAAAGGGTCAAAGTTCAAGTCAAAGAAACAATGAGTGACATTACAAGTAACCTAGAAGGTGTGAAAGCACACAAAAACAACCAATCACGTCCAAGGTCACCAGGAGAGATGATTAATAAACTCGGGGAGAAATCAAAAAGCTCACTTCAAATTGAAGTATGCGCTGAAGATGTCGCCTAGTAGGGCAATGAAAGCTTCGCAAATTAGCTATCCAGCTCAGAGAACACAACCACATCAAAATATTGAAACAGTATATGATACAAAATACAGTTCACAAGTTATAGAAACGAATGGTTACTTGACGATATAGTTAGGTCCACTGCTACAAATTATTAACATAATCCACAGATACATTCACTGCTGAGGTCTTTGCTTACTAGCAGAAGCTCTGTACTGGTTGTAGAGTAGTCTTCAGATGAGGATGAGAGGCTCCTGCAAATTCCAAAGGATACAACATGGTTAGTAGCGAAACAAGTAGACAGTATAGTTCAGTGAGAAGACTAAGAGACACGCAAAACTTATTTTCATTGTGCCTCAAAGTTAAATGTATTTTGCAATGAATCTTTTTAAACAAAAGTTATGTACAATGTTTGCATTTGTACCACCTAACAAAACACTGTACAATCATATTGTTCCAGACATCCCAACCCCACTGCGTTGAAGATAACCTTATTGTTGCTGAAACTTCAAAGCACAAAAAAGATAAACCAATGAATAATGAGGTGAAAGTATTTTATTGTATTATCATTATTATTGCTTCCTTTAGTTCCTAGAGGAACATTGGGCTTCAGCCACACGTTTCCATTGCGTTCAGTCCTCTGCCAACGTTTTCATCTGGCTCTCCGTCTGCCCACATGCTTTCATCTCTTCTTCGTATGACCTCCTGCATGGCACCCTTGCACTGACGACCAACTCGCCGCTTCACATTCAGGTTCCACTCAAGCGATGGCCAGGCGTGTGATGTCACTTGATGGTTTGTTTTATGAGCGTATGGTCAATCTACCTCCATTTCTTCCTGCATATTTGTTGCACAGTTGTTTCCTGGATGGTTCGCTCCCACAGATCCCTGTTGCTGATCTTTTCTGGCCATCTGATCTTGAGTATCAAGCGAAGACAGCTATTGATGAAGATATATAGTTTGCTCGAAGTGCTCTTCATGACGCGCCAGGTCTCTGATCCATAAAATGGCACTGCCTTCACACGAGTAAAACTCCGGATCATATTTTTCATGCTGAGTGCTGTTGATCTCCACACAGACTTGAGAGAAATGAAAGCTTGTCTTACTTTCCCGATCCTCCCTTTGATATCCTCATCAGTTCCGCCTGAAGTTGAAACGATGCTTCCTAGATAGGTAAAGGAGGTTGGTTC